GAGAGAGAGAGAGAGAGAGAGAGAGAGAGAGAGAGAGAGAGAGTGAGAGATCTACGGTGGTGGAATGCGGTTGTTGTCGATCTCGACAGTAGGGGAGAGCACACGGTGCTTCTGTAAAATATTACTGCGTCCGCTGGCGAAAAGATTGCCGGTCGCGGCGTGTCGTTGCTCCGCGATCGGCAGTGACATCGACTCGTTTAAGGGGATCTCTACCAGAGATTTTCCGCATGCAACCGAGACGAAAACTGTTTTCCAACACGACGCGAGAAATGAAAGGTACAGAGAAAGAAACATCGCTGCAAAAGCGCGAGAAGAAGATCGACGACGTCTTGATCGTGATCGTTGTTTTACGGCGCAGAGGGAGAACATGGGACTAACATGCGTGCTTGTTTGGGCGGAAATTAACAACGCTTTTCGAGATATTAACACTGTTTGGAATATGCCTGCGGACTGATGCGACGAAGACTGCGAATAGATATCCGTGATGCGCGATTGGCGCGCTCTGTGCAGCAGCTGTGCAATGTCTACGATGAATCTCAACGATTATGGTAGGGAGAGCTTATCGCTTGTGTCGATTTCTTTGTCACGTGACGGTACTGTTGGTTGTTCCATTAGTTTTTGTAAATGAGGACTAAACTATGGCGAATTTTATATTAATTGTATCGTGATATCTAATAGAAGGGTATATATGTATATGTAATGTTGTAACGTCAAGAAGCGTGCCTGTAACTCTATATCAAAGTATCACATAGGATTATTGTGCGTAACGCTTGCCTAACGCTGGTTACTTGTCTAACACGAGACGTGTACAAGTTTGCAACGTGCAATACGCAAAGTAACTCTGCCTTACCATGAGTGTAACGCTATGCGCTATAAATGTCTAATCTTTAGGTATAACTGATTAATATATAATGACGCATTAGCTAACGTAACGTAACGTGTAACCATCTCGAGGATGCGCAGGTGACGTGCGAGACGCAAGTTCTCACGGCTCTTTAAAAAATGTTCAGAGCTTCCGAGGGAACTCTGCGTTCCTGTGATCCGTTTAAAATACGTATCACTCTTCTCAGTTGTAACTTTAGTCACTGGCGCATCTTCAACCAGGAAAAGTCACGATACGCGTTAACAGATATTAATAGCGATTACCTCAAATGACGCTTCGCAGATTGGCTTCAGGATCAAATTAACACGTTAAAATCAAAATCTGTCTCTACCATCCTAAAACACTCGAAGGATACTAAAAAGACGCGAAGATGTAGATTACATTCAGAGAAGACGAAAAGAAGTTCCAAGGAAAATGTAATAATCGATAACGCGAATTAAAAATGCTAAACATAAAGATATTACATGGAAGGTGTCAAAGTATTTTATGCAAAAGATTTATCGTTTTTCTGTCAAATTCTCGTAGAAAGTTTACGTATTAAAAGGAAAATACGAAGTTTTCTGGTTAGAGCACTGGAGAAATACCGAGTTGATGTTATCCACACTTCAAAAATTATTGATCCTTCGAAATTGGATAATTCCGTCTTCTATTTTATATGACAGTCACGACAGACTCTTTTTGCGCAAACCTAATAGAAGGTATCATCATATATGGCGGGCAGTCTTCTTTTCTTTTTTTTTTCTGTTGACGATATTGTCTTCGTGTGGAGAGACTTGCGGAGATATGTTACGAGCGACGGCATAGCATACAGAGGAGCGTAACAGTGCTTCGGCAATGATTTGAAATGTAAGGTAGCACAACAGAGATGCGAGTCGGCGGCGCTGGCGGCCGGTGGCAGGAGAGCAAGCAGAATGAAAAGCAGCAGCAGCACCAACAACAGCAGCAGCAGCAACAACAGCAGCAGCAGCTCCCGGCGGCATACACCCTCCGTGCCGACGCTCGTCACACATCCCGCCTCACCCCGGAACCCTCAGCTCTCGCCGTTGCAGGTCCGTTGGCCTTGTGTTGGCGCTTAACTTGCGTGTCTTGCACCTTGAGAAGAGCGTATTATCATTCCGTTCACGCTCCTCTACCTAGCGTTTGTCGCGATTGTCTTCACTTCTGTACGACGCTCGCGTCTCGTGCGCTTCAGCTTCTCGTCTTGTGTGCGCGCAGTTTTGTGTGAATAAACTTGTAATTCCCGTGCTTCGCGTTCGCTCGATTCCGACCGTCTCTCGCGATGTACTTAGACCGCGCTGAAGGTACCTGGCGAATAATCATTACGTGTTTGTGCGTTACAGAGCTGATGAGGTCTCCACCAGTGAGGTGGTCCAGCAGAAGTTGTCGCAGCCTGCCTCCGACACCCACACCGAGCTACCATCATCCACTTCATCCTCCTCTACCCGCCGTCGGCATGGTCGCCGAGAGGAAGAAGCGTTTCGAGCTTTAAATCCCCTCGTTCATTTCTCTTTTTCATGTAATTCGATCAGCGCGATGCCGCGAGAAAATCCATGCAAGGATAGCACGCGAGAATGAATGTAGAAACAACGAGACGACCGATTGCTTCCAACGTATTCAGGAATGACGAGATTTGAGCAGGTCCAACGACATAATGTTTCGCGTGTATCATTTTTACGAGTATTAAAAATAGAAATATCGGGTAGTATCTAGAAAAAATAGAACAAAAAAGAAACTAAGTATAACCAGGAAAAAAAATTAAGTATTCTGATGTGCGCGCTATTCTGGCACACGCTGCTTCTCCACTCTGAGAATGTAAGACTGAAACTGTTTCGATATCGTCACTCACGGACCAACGAACTCTTGTAAAATGTAAATCCGCGAATAGATCGTTCAGACAATACCGTATTTTTCTTGCGATTCGCGAGCGCGAGTTGCGACTCTCACCACTGCCGTACGTGGATCGCGCGCGAGGTTTGGATGAATCTTTTGTCAAGCCAGAGTCAAAGTACATTCGTCGTCACGCGACAATATTGAGCATGTTTATCAGGTAAACATGATTCAATATGCCGAAGAAACAGGTCCCGATTGTCGGGACGAGGGACAAGTGTGACGCTGCGATTTTTCTTCATTGATAAACGAAGAGACGCGCGAATGTCGAGAGAGCTCATCACGAGAGCCCATCGATCGCGACATAAGTGATTTTTGACACAATTTTTCCCCGAGAAATTTTGCTAAGCGTGTTTACCGGCGCGCCGCTCGGCCGGTCGTGGCCGCCGCTCTTTTGATATACGCATTTAGACTTTGATCAAGGCTTTTGATCGTAGATATGCGAGTGGACGAGCGTTTTGCAGCGACTCATCGTCGATTTTTGGAAGTGCGTGTCTTCGGGCATTATAATCTCCGCGCGAAATAATCTCTCACGCCAACTGGCAGAATAGCCCAATTGCACGTGATGAAATTGGATTGGAATGAAATTTTTTGATCTTATGTATTAGTTTCGGGATATGCATGCGTCATTATTGATCATTTAAAGAAGGAAACAATGTATTGCAGCAGCAATCTGTCACTGTGACAATTTTCGTTTATATGTTTCGGTAAAGTCAAAAGAAGTGGGTAATAAATAATTATAAATGGTTATAATGAGGTATTGTTAATATTATTTTACGAGATAATATTTGGAGATACTCTGATGTTACTTATTATGAAATTGGTCAATAGATAAAAAAATAAGATCATAAGTATAAGATCTAGATAATATTTATGGAAATATCTTCATATCTGGATTGTTGTGTAATATACTTATATTTGAAAGAAGAAACGTTGTATATTTAGAAGTAGTATTATATATATTGTGATATCATTTATGTTATATATATTTTATAATTATATTTTATTATATAATTGTAATATATATATATATAATTTTCTGTTGTAGATTATTTTTGGGAAATTTGAATAACGGCACGCTTTTAAATTAAGAACTAATAGTGAATGATAAATAACACAGAATAATATTAATACCTTGTTGCGATAATTTTCAATTATTTATTACTTATCTGTCTTAACTTTTTTGAGATACATTGCAAACATAAAGTTATCACAGTGTAAATTATGACACACCGTTCCCGTTTTTCTCAAGAAATAATCATGACAATAATCAATACAAATGTGCGGAAACGAATGTGTACAGTTAGAGAATACGAATAAAGGCAGGTCTGCAATACACGGAATAAGCTTGACGTAAGTTGAAGTAAAAAATAAATAATTTTTATTTCTTACTCACACTCAACGTGTTAAGGCGATTCTGCTGATTGGTGTGCTCTTTGGTGCTAAAAATAAGAGTGAGTCGAGCAAACGCGTTATTACGAGTCGTATATAACGTGTAATAATCGTCGTGATAGATGTCGCAGTGTAGCGTAGAATCCGTGTATTTTTCGATGTAAAACTGTGCAAGACCGAGAACCCACTCGTTCTCAGGCTTTCGCAATCTTTGGGAATTTGCATTAACGCTGATGAGAACATTTTGGTATCTTGTTAACTGAGGGGTTTCGTGCAATTCAATCCTACTCTGACAGTTAAGTTTTTATCGTTATGAAGAGTTCGTATTTGTCGAACATCTACGCGAAACGAAAGGAAACATTTGATTGTACGACGATCTAGATCAATTTCATGCTCGCGACGTCTGTTCTCAGAGAGGATCCTGTTGTGTTTGTTATCTTTAAGACCCAAATATCTCTTGAATTATACAGTTTTGGATATTACAGAGAAGACATATCGTCGAAATCGAGCGAATGTAAAAAAAGGAAGAGAGAGAGAGATAGAGAGACGTAGAAGAAAAAACATTTAGTTCGTTATTCAAGAACGAAGAGATCGTTTTACGCTTGTTTCTCGCTCTTGTTATGTATAGATTTTGCACATAAAATACGGCGTTATCGTACCGCACCGTGTATTACCGCATTTTCTCATTGTGTAAATGCCCTCTTCTTTCAGGTTGCGATCATTTGATGTTAAATATTGTATAGTTTATGACGTTTTATTAAGCAGCAAAGGTATATAAATAGGCGATTAATGTCCCTCTCAATCCCTTTCGTCCCTCTTCCATATTGTATGGTTTGTTTATATATACATATATATATATATTTACTATTGTATTCTATATTATATATTATTGCGATTCGTTCCAGTGATTCTCTCGATATTATAAGACGATAAAGGATATTGAAAATTCACTACGATCGTCCCTTACGTAGAGTAATTACTCTCAGGATTGTTTAACATTTATAATATATTACGATTATACTCTATTGTATTTGTATGATAATTTATAACACGTTTGAAATAAACTACAGTAACCATGAATGTCGCATTTATTAAACGACTACTTACGCATATAACGTTAATTTCAGCATATGATTTATCGCCAGATCGAGAAAACTTTTGTTCGTCGTTTAAAAATAAATACAAAAGTTTGTTCAGCCCATAATTCGATTGCATTAGTGAAAAATAACAATTATTTGATCAAATAAGAGGTCTCCCTAATCGTTGAGTCATACTACGACTAAGTGGTTATAAATGATTACGACAAGCAATCAGAATAAAACAATCAGTAAATAAAATACTCTGATTGCTTAGCTTTTACGTTCACGACCACGCTTCCGTAATTATAGAATGGCTTTTAAACAAGTTTTAAGCGATGTCTACAATTAGAACTTAAGCCATAAGATATAAGCTTTAAGGGGAATCGGCTATTATGAATATCGATGTCTCAAATATAAGTCCCTATGTTTACGATAGAAAAACAAAGTTCGCAGTAGTTCGATTCAACAGCGGATTCGAAGAGCCTTTATTTTTTAAGCGACGCGAACCATTGATAATTTTATATCTTATATTCTTACCCACACAGCAGGAATGTCCTAAATATATCATAAGGATATCTTGAAGATATCACATATCCCAAATATATCTTTAGGATATCCCTATGATATATTTTGGACACCTCTGCTGTGTGGGTATGTTTCAGTAACAATAAGGTGACCAGACATCCCGATTTTTTCAGAATAGTCTCGTTTTTTCATCCTTTGTCCCGAATTTTTTCGAGTGCTATTCGGGTCACCGATTTGTCATCATTTTCAATGATTGTCAAATAATTTTTGGATCTTTTTACCCCCCTCCATTCGCTTCATATATTTATGAAGTGTCCCGAATTCAAGGCTGGGAGATCTGGTCACCTTACCGCAAAGATATACTGCGAAGATAAACGAGAAGATTACTTACAAATGATGACTTCACGATACGCCTCGGCGATCGCACATCGCTATTCTCGACACTCCCGAGACTTATTAACGTGCGAGACTTACTTTCGACGGATAAAAGACGCGAGAAACACGGAGCGATGTGGATTGATGTATGCCCATGGCTGCTGCTTGGCGCGAAAAGATCGAACATTTCGCGCGATTCATTACCAACGCCTAGATTGAATAACCACGATGACAACCTCGTAGTGCGAAACGAATGCGATTGGTCTAGAGTGGTTAAGAGGATGCTGAAGCTGAAAACTTTACCGACAGAACACTGACATTTTTTTGCAAAGTTTACGTCGTATTGATTACACAAAATTACAAATGCTTTTATGCAATGAAAGTACGTCCAAAAATAAATAGGAGCATTGCTCGATATGTGACGAAAACGAAAAAAAAATTTTAAATATAAAATCTCAAGCTGTCAGCGTAATATTTGCCTAATCCAAAAGTTCTGCAGTTTGTACGTACCGAAAGTGTGGATGCTCCAAACAGAAAAATTTTGGAGAACATTGCTCTACCTTCGCATCTGCACTTGGAAGCTTTCGAAAATCGAAAAAGAAAGATTTCTACACGTATATGGTTTTCCGTTGAATGTGGTAAAACAAAGCAACACACATTCATGTAAGTTTTGTATATACAAAAAATACGAAAAAGATAGCGTGATTATGTTAGTGATGATCGTCTCTGCATTATCGATATTGTTCGAATTCGTCATCGACTCCAGCATCCCCTTAAAGCGTCCGCCATACAGATCGCGTCGTTGTAGACGCGCGACCTCGTTTGCGTCACTGGCGCGTTCACATTTATGCACTTTTGGCACTTTCGGCGCGCTAATGAACTTTTGGTGTACGTGATTGACAGCGCGCGCGTCTGCGATCTTTTCATGCCAAGCAACTGTGCCATGGACACAACGCTCCGTATTCCATATGTCTTTCGCTTATTCTGAGTCTCCTGCAGAAATAAGTATTAGAGTGCCGAAAATAACGACGTGCTGTCGTCAGGACATATCGTAAGTACATTATTACGGAGTAATCTCCTTCCTTTTCGACACATACAGCTAAGGTGACTAAACGTTCCGATTTTTCATACTTTGCCCCGAATTTTTTCAAGTGCTATTCGGGACACTGATTTGTCATCATTTTCAATGATTGCCAAATAATTTTCTGATCTTTTTATCCCCCTCCGAATTCAGGACTAGAAAATCTGGTCACCTTAGTAGTAATAGTAGTAGTAGTAGTAGTAGTAATAGTAGTAGTAATAGTAGTAGTAGTAGTAGTAGTAAGTATCTAGACAGGGATAATAGTAATAAACTCCATGATGAATTAATTAATATATTATGTGCACATTGATCGTTATTTTACTTTGCTTTACTTTTCTTTGCCTATTTCTTTAAAACGCAAGTCTTCCGAATTGGCATCTATTTGTGTGAAAGCTCTTAGAACGCACCCAAATTTAAAGAAGAGACTCCAGAGCCATCTTGTGATAAAGCGCCGAGACTATTCGCGTACTCGCGGCTACTTGGATCGCGCGCGAAACGGTCCCCGTTCGCGCTTGAAATACTTTCGTTGATCGCGATGGAGTCGTTGTCCGAGTTGAATTTGAACGATTTAGACAACCTACTGCCACAGATGAAGCAGAAGTTATTGTCGGGGACGGAAAGCGCGCAGGTGAGTGTAATTAATTCACATTTGTGTCTACCGGTTTGCGAGCCGTTGCGACTTGCGTATATGAAATGGCTGCCGTGCGATATTCTCTTTTTTCGCGTTAAATCTCGAAATGTGTCTTAACCGTCTTAAATGCCACGATGGTAGGACGGCCGCAATTCTTCGTTTTACTTACGGTAAACACCAGCGATGACAGATTATCACGTTTTAGCGTCTCTTTTACGTCGCACGAGAAGATTTTTAACAAGTACTCTTTCTCTTCCTTCACGAGTCAGTGTCGTTACGCGCTCGTCACTTAAGCTCGTGCTATTAGATGCTACTTGAAACTTGTCTGACGTGAAACACTTAAATCTGAATTTAGAGTTGGATCAGAATTTTTCAGTTATTTATGTGATATATGTGATATTATTTTGTAATCCTCCGATTCAACTGAAACATTCACATCTAACTTGAAATTCAGATCAGAGTATCTCGCGTGAGTCGAGTTTCAAGAGACGACTAGAAATACGGGTCTTAGTGTCTGTGAGGGCAGTTGTCGTAAGAGAATTACGAGGATTATAATTTACTTCCCGAGTGCATTAGTATGCATGGCACTTTCGATAATGTATTCTTATTTGATCCCTCTCTATGCTGGAACTACATTGAGAGAAAAAATATTGATTTAACTAAAGTTATAGTTATTGTTGGCCTCAACCATATTGGTTGTCCTAACACAAAAATAATAATGTTAACATGCACATAAGTTTATTATCACATTAACATTATAATAAAATTTAATAGGAAAATAGTTTTCTTGGCCATAATTTATAATAATTATTTCTCTATGTGATTATATAGTTACAAATACCAAACATTTTTTCTTAGTGCGTTAAGAAGTAAGAATGGAAATAATCGACTATATTTCACGCTAGAAACAATATGATCTTCAGTATCAAACGAAATATTTTGTGTTCATATCTTTAGATCGTATTGTTTCTAGCGTGAAATATAGTTGATTATTTCCATTCTTACTTCTTTCTTAACACACTAAGAAAAAATGTTTGGTATTTGTAATTATATAATCATATACAGAAATAATTGTTATAAATTATGGCTAAGATATATATATATATATATATATATATATATATATATATATATATTTCCACATATATACAAAACTCTCGTGTAGTTGTCATTTATATATAATTGCCATTACTATGTTTTTTTTTCTGAATGCAATATTGCTTTGCAACTTTATCATACATTTATTGTCGTTCGTTAATAACAATAGATGATAATAGAACGCATATTGTCGATCTTGAGAAATGCAAGCGAATCTAAACGGGCTGTTATCGTGGGGAAACTCGTTAATTCGGACATGATATTCACCATATGCGAGGTCATGCAAACGTCGGATGAGAACTTCGTCAAGTATGTCATTCTTTCGTATTTTAATGTAAACGTTACATCCGCTACATTCGACTTTCTTCATCGAGGTAAACATTTTTACGCCGTTCCTCTCTGCAGAATCGTTCTCGAATGCTTCAAGCTCGCGAGCACGCACAAGGAATTCTATGAGAATCACGCTGCCGTGACTGCCGTGAAGTCGATGGCGAGACTCACTTACTGCGTAAATAAGTCGCTGAAAGACTCGACATTATTCGAGAAGCTTGTACAAAGCATTTGCAACGTGCTCGTTAGGTACGTAAGACCTCCCGTGATCTTTGTTTATCGTCAAAACTCAACGTAAGTTATTATCATTTTTTCTTTACTCTATTTCGATCTCCATCAAAAATCACACTTATCTCAAGATATAATATTTGTCTCCGTACATTACGGCGATTTATTTCCGAGCTCGTAGATTTCCTAGAGTCTAAAAATTCTCCAAGTTCTCAGCACCGTAGATTTCATTTTCCAGTCATTGATATATCAGCTATTCAACATTGCTAACACAGTATGCATCATTTTGAAATGTTTAAAATATCTAAAATATGTTTGTTTAAGATTGTAAAATTGTATTTAGATTTTGTAAGACTTTTCGGATTCAGAGACTCTGATCCTTTTGATTCAAAGATTTTTTAATCTGCATATTCTAAGAAAAAAAAGTGTTAACATTCTTTTTAAGTATTCTATATAAATTTACGAAGCACTTGAAACAAGGAACATTTACTTGAATGCAGTATTTTGCTGTATGCAATAATTGCATTTAATAATTGCATAATGAAATAAATAGGCAGGAAGATCATTTTTACCCCGAATTAGAGTAAACTCGAATAAGATGGCCATACGTTTTTAAAATGCAAAAAAATACATTTCTTATTATTTCTTAATAGCGTTTGGCACATTACTTCACTGAACCCTACAGTACATAATACCATCAAAGTTAAAAGAAAAATATTTCAGTGAAATTATTTATTAAAAAAATATCAAAACATGAGCATTGGCCATCTTACCTAAATGTTTAAGACAAGATGGCCATAAGGGATAGATAACCCATACATATTTTATATTCAAGATTCTGTACCTATTATTTTATAAAATAATGAAAAAAACATAATTTGATATATTTATTTTAGTATAGGATATTTAATATATATTATTTGTGAAAAATATAATATACATACAAAATAAAAATCTCTATTACAAAACTTTAAATTTTAAATCAAATTTTTGATCAAAACATATTACATATAAGATTTAATTACTGTAATATTGAAAGTAATTTTTGAAATATAACGACTTTTATTTTATTAATTAGAACGATAGTGGGCCATCTTACCTAAAATGTGAGTGAAAGACGGTTATAATAGTAATTTATAAGTACTTATAAACAAATAGACAAAATAAAAATAAAAAGGCATGTTATATTACAATTTATATATCTACTTTATGTATCTAACGTTGATTGCGATAGCTTAACGTAATTTATATTCAACGTTACAGCAAGTTTTAGTGGATACATGAGAAATTTTACAGGTAGTCGAAAATAAAAATATAGTATAATATTCATAATCTTGTTATTTCAAAAAATGTACGCACATACACTACGATAAATGTCAATTATCTTTGTCTGATTACATAAACGCAATGTTTTGCAATTATTAGAGAAATTACAGCCTATGGCCATCTTTCCGATATGGCCATCATATCTGAGTTTACTCTAGTGTTAATGATAATAATTTTGCTCGCGTGCAAATGTAAATTTAAAAAATAAAGAAAAGCAGAAGCGAGTAATACATCAGGTCTAGATAAAAACGAGATAAAATCAATGGTCGCGCACACGTTCGGTCGTCTTATTCCGCGCTCGATTTGTAGATCATCGGAATTGGCCGTGGATCTCAACGACGTGTGCGACTCGCAGCAGATCATGCTTCTCGTGAACAACCTGGACGTGGACGATTTGCGACTAAAGCTTACCGTCGTGACGATGCTGAACGTCGTGCTGCAGCGTGGGATTTTCAACGAGAACGTCGACGAAGAGATAATCATTGACGTGTGCTGCACCGCGATAAGTTCGATGACGAGAATTGTGAAGTACAGCAAGGACGATAATGCAATTTTGCTCGCTGTGGTGATACTATGCGGCACTTGCGCCGGCGGCTCCCGGTACAGATATCGATCTACTTTTAGACACCGTTGTACCTGGCTCTCTCTTTTTCTCTCTTTATTTCTTTCTTAACGTCAATATCCTGATCCATCTTGTTCAACGAGAACTTCCTCTCAGCAGGTTCTGCTGCGCCAGTCTCGAACAAAAGAGTCAGATCGGCAACCTTACGATTCAGCAGAGGAAGACCGAATTGTTGGATACCATTTACAACGTGACGATGACAATAATTATACCCCACGTGAAGGTGCGTTCATTAGAAAGAACTCATTGCTCAAGTGGAAATGCATATGGCCGCAGCATGAATTTTGAAACTTGAGAGAATATTCGAAACACCATTACGACGTATTATTCCTTCAACAGGATGCGAACTTGTCCCGCATAGATCCGGTCTCGTTACACCAGAACCTCGTCTCTTGCCTGAGCAATCTGTACCAGCTGAAGAGTTGCAATCACGACAACTTGTCGAACCACTTGACCGCCAGTGGTTATCTCAAGTATTTCTTATACTTGACCGTGCAATCTCCGTAAGTCGCGCCGGTCATTCTTAACGTCGTACAAGATTAACAGGATTATACGTTGCAGTGTTCGGAACAACTTATAAATAGAAGCGTCGAGAGGAACTCCAGACATACGGGTGTCTGAGAGAGGTCATAAAGGGGCGATTAAACGGTGTCTTTAATTTCTTGAACGTTCACTTTAGACATAGATTTTTTTGGATTTGTGACATTTTAAATTTAGAGACTCTGATCTTTTTAATTCGGGATTTTTATCGATATACTCTGAAGAAGAAGTTTTTGGCATTTGCAAGAATTATATAATTGTCCGACGAAATAATTATAGCCAAGAATATAATTTTTATACTAAATTAGTATTAAACACAAAAAACTTATATCAGTTTATATGAGTTTGCTGAAGCTACTTTCTTCTTAGAACAATTCAGACAAATTTTGGCGAAATTAATTATTTATTTTCGCTCAATGCACGCGATTTTAATACATTGTCAATCACTGATATTTTTGGGTAAATTTTAACCCATCTATCATGGACAGTTTTTCGGGCGATTTAACCCATACAACACAACACCTAGAATCGGGACATAAGACGTCTTAAAGACATCTTAGGAACGTCTTATATTCTGACGTCTGAGAGACATCTTTCAGACGTCTTATGTCCCGATTTTAGACGTTGTGTTGTGTGGGAATAATGCACGAGAAGAAAATATTTGTTTCACTCGCCTTTCCACGTATTACCATCGCGTCCGAGATATCCGATGCGAGAGTGCTCCGTTCGCCGCGTTCTGCAATGTTGCGGAATGAATTCGGCGTGCGTTACGTGCGTCGTTAAAGTTTCAGTGTTCGAAAAAGCACGGTTGCGCCCAAACCACTAAGAAACAGTTGCGCCGAAACGACATTTCACGTTATAGGGAAAATTTACGAAGGAGTATCTGCATATTGCTATCACGAATCCTATGTATCCTCGGCAAAACGGCATTCTCCAAGGACGCGGACAAGTTTAGAAATGTTTTGTACGTGGGTCTTCTCGAGCTGCCGAAGGATTCCGCGGATCAGTGGAACAATGTAATAGCGCGTAGAGGGAAAGCTGAGACTGCTCTTGCGATCCTGCTGTACTACCATTACCACGGCACTCAGGAGTATGACATTATTTCTTCTTCATTGTTATATCTTTCATTTCGTCGCACGGATTCTCGCTCTACCATAAAAATGAGAAGAACAGACTTTACTTTATTACATCTGTACGCGAAAAGAAAAGCGGGCGCTGTACGATTTTGTCAGTCTTCAGTCGCGAAAATCTCAGAGGTCTTCGAATTTGTATTCGTATTGTATTTGTATTTTTATTCAACGGACATTCTGACAGTTTGCGAATATTCCAGAATCTGGAAATTCTCAAATCCAATTAAACGTTCCTTCGAAGTGTTCACGAATCAAATTTTTGCAATTGCAAACATTATCGAGCCCTTTTTCTTCCAAGGTGCAAATTTAATCGAGCGTTCCAACTTGGATGTTTCTTTTCAGAAACGACATAGTGTCCCCGCAGTCACTGATCGCTCGGGTCAGGTTAATGTTGCCGTCAAAGGCAATACTGGTCTCGGTTTTAAAACCACTGTGGTTCTTGTTTGCCGTAAGTATATATAATTCGCCGCTCGGTCATTTGCTATGCGCTAATTCTATCGGATCCCGTAGGTTACGTCTCTATCACATCCATATGCCAGTTTGACATATCATTATGAAAGCGCGGCTGCTCGATTGGCGAAGATCTTACACGTGAACGAATCGAAAATAGGAAAGTTTTATACCCATCACGTCAACCTTATGCAGCATTGCCTCGTTCGCCCAGAGTATTCGCAACGCGTGGTGAATAAAGTCTTAGACTTGTGGCTGATCGAATCCGACGGCGACATCGAACCGTTATTGCCGTTCATTTGCACCAAAGTGGCCCGCCGTTTACTGGTGAGTAGAAAGCTCACATCTCTTTTGTCCGTGACAACCGCTGTGAAATCGAGATTGTCTTCGATCGCGCGTCCACGTAATTTACGTCCGTACGAGCGTGCTTCACTTTGCTGGAAAGAAATGATATTTAAGTTCGCATTTCGAATCGTGATATCGTAATATTCAACGACGTTAGAAAGCGTGCCGTTCTGCATTTGTGAGAGGCTCACGACGATCTTCGTTTGTTCACGAACAGGTTGTGATGTACGCCAATTGCCAGCCGCGTGTTATGAGCTTAGCTGCGAAAGCACTTCGTCATTTGGTTGAGATCGGTCATCGATATGTCGATCACATTGTGGATATCGTTTGGTATATGCTGCCGAATATTCTCTCATCGTGCGAATCGGACACCGGTATGTTGACATCTGAGTTGTATAAGTTTTTCCATCGAATTTCATGTCGAACTTTTGCGAAGCTCAGTCGAAAATCTCTGGCTCTACATTAATCCTACAAATCCCGTTAACTGTGAAAGATCAACAGAGCAGCTTGGGGTACATAACTCAGGAAGCTGTTGTTTTATGATGCTGCAAGTGATTGCAAGTCGTTGAGGTTTAAAGGAGAGTTTATTTAAGAATTTTTCTTTTTTTCAATATTTGATCATCTCAACAGTTTATCTGCATTTAATCTATATTTTTTATCTCAACCAGCAATTTATTAATTACATATCTTAATACATTACTTATTGAAGTAAAAATAAAGTTCACATGTGATTAGAACATTGGCACAATTGAAAATTAAGTGATTCTAATGAGTGCTTTTGCAAGTCTCAACATGGAGGAAACAGCAGCGAGCAACCATTTGCAGCATCAAGACGGGACAACAGAGACAGTATAACGTTATCTCTAAATTCTCCATTGATTCATTAAGCTTAGTTTCGTATTTGTAAGTCAAATGCAGAACTACAATTTTGACTTAGGACGATATTCCAATTCGTCTCTTCATTTTATCTAAAACATCAAGTATGGACATTTCGCATCAACCAAAACTGATCACATTAAATGATAATCTACGATTGACGTCGCCATTGGTAACCGCTTTATCGAATTCGTGTTTGCAGTCGCGTATACAGAGGTTCTGGAATTAACTAATATTACCCGACCGCATACAGTGCCGACGCATCACATAGAACGCTGCGCCAACAGCATCGTCAATATCATATCGAAGAAGACCACGAATTTGAAATTCATGACTTCGATTGTAAAGCAAGCGTACGTCTTTTTGGACGCCACTAAGTCACGCAACTCGTTCGGAGGTAGGGAATGATATACACAAGCGATAACAATCTCGTCCCGACGAGAGATCGCGCACCCTCGCCGAAAAACACATGCATCTTCGAGCGAAATGTAATGTATTTGGTCGAAATATTTCCATTACAGTGCTTAAGATCTACATAAAGAACGCCGAGCTACTGAAGAATCTGTACGTCTACGGATTTTCGAAAGAGAGATCAGAATTGTCGTCGGTTAGCGTGAAGCTGCTGACGTACGTTGTGCATTGTCAGAAGAAATCCTCGATCAAGGTAACGAATGCTAGTATCTTTCTGAGAGAGAGATTCGCACGCGCGTGAATCTCAGTCTCGCACAAACACTCTCAAATATTTTAGCGCGATCTCGTGTGCATTCCAGTGCGAACAGTCGTTGATCGTCCGCATAAAAGCTTTGGTTGAGCTGTTAATGCACGCGGCAAAATCGCTGTGCTGCGCAATAAACGGATTACAACTAATACGCGAGCTTCTGACGCAGAATGTTAATAGATCGGCTGTCGTCTTGCAAGAGATCGCAGCCAATGCCGATGCCGACGACACTGACATGCTTATCAATCTTTATGAATTTCTCCATATGGCGCACGTACAGGTCAGTAGCATTGAAAAGTGCAACGACGCGAAAACGAACGAAAACACCTTTCGTATCGAAAGGTCGAAAAGCGTATCCTGCAAAAAATCGACGATCGTTTTATCGATTAGACGAGAGAGAGAGAGAGAGAGAGAGAGAGAAAGAGACAAAAAGAGAGAACAAGAGAAGTCGATAATTATCTATTAATTCTGAACTGTTATAGTTAGTTCTATTTTAGCTATTCTTTTTGTAGGAATATCCAGTGCAAAGAGACCTGGTATATCAGTGTTTAGAAGCTCTGTTGAATTTTTGTAACGCCAAGGTGCCCGAGCTGATACCTCTTCTTTGCACCGTGATGAGTAATTACAATCTCTTCCTCGACGTCGTGAACACGCGACATGTGTCACGTCACTTCGTGAAATACGCCGTCGTGTGGCTTCATTATCGCAGGACGACTTGTAACGACGTACCGTGGAACTCCAGATCGTTGTACAAGACGCCCTTTGACGAAGTTCTGGACCAGCTTAGGGAGTATTCCGCGATCGTTAAGAAGAAGGGCCTGAGGGCCTATTGGGACCTTCAACGCGCGGTAAGTTCATCGCTCTCTCCCTCCCGCGAACGTTCAGTGTAAATCACGCGTGATCACACGAGATTGATTGGTTTTACCTTACGTTACATTTTTGTATATATATATATATATGTATATATGTGTATATATGTACATACTTTTCTTTACAGCTGTCGCAGTATCCGAGTGAACAATAATAAAACTCGTATATCATATCACGTTGTATCACAGTACAAGTGGCTTATGTCGTTTAGCGAAGTTGCAAACGCGTTCTATCTCTCATTTTTCCTCCTCTTTACGTTTTTACGAAACATTAAGTCACGACTTTTCCTCTCGAGCAAGATCGATGTGATTTACTTTCAATAGGAGTCCGTCAACTTGAAGTTCTGTATTTCGAGGGAATAAAGTGCGCGTATAATGGTGAATGCACGATGGCTTTGAAGCACCGCTATCCATCATTCGCTATACATCGAGATTGTGTTATTCGAGTAACATGCATATCGTAGGTAAATCGAATATATCTACGGATATATGAGTGTGTGTATATATACCGAGATTGAAGAATATTTCAACGAGAGAGATTGTTCCTTAGCGGCGTATAAAGGCGGTAAAACGGTGACCTATAACTTACTACGCTACTACGGCGAACCGTTAACAATTCATCCCCTTATTTTGTGCAGTGTCGTTTATCAACGTTACACGACGATGACGACGTCGTGGCGGTAACGTGTGCGTACAAAAAGTAGAAAAAGATTGTTCTCCGGTGCGAACACAATTACCCCGTCGGTGTACCGCCACCACTTCCCTGTGAAAAGCTGCACGAAGCGCATTCGTTAACAATCCACATTCCTCCAACTATTCCCGAATGTGCAAGACGCATCGTGCGTTAATCGTCGATCTAATCCTTTCGGATCGGTCGAGAGACTTTAGACGCCGGGACGCCGTTGTTCTTTCTCTTTTTTTCTCGCAAACGACCAACGAGACCCCGAAGGGGATAAACGGTACACCGACGATTCGTCTCGATCGCTCGCTCGTTCATTGCGCGATTAAAAGTCGCGCGCGGCTCTCTTCTCCGTTCCTTCGTCTCTCACTTTCGCGGCCGTCCGTTTCGCTGCATGAAGCAACCCTTGAAGGAATTTAATCTCACGTCAATCTCACCCTCCTCCAACTGAAACGTGTTGATCGTTCGTTATTCGTTTGTACCGTCAGCAAAGCGCTCATGCACGAAACATACAGCGGGATACGTATGCGGCGCGAGCGAACGCAATTAACGGAATTGCCATGCCGAAATTGGTACAACAGATAGACTCACACACACCTACACACGCACACACGCGCACACGTACCTGATCGAATAAATAGATCTCCTTGTAGCAGGACGGCGACACGCATTCTCGAATGCACTTGGTTTTCGCGACGCCGCTCCTGTGCGATAACATTTTGCAGGCACCGCTCTCCTCGCAGGCCTGCTCGAACTGCCGAAAAAGGAGCTCCTGCGCGACAGAATATTTTATTCATTTGTTGTGACATTGACTCTTGTCGCTTTGCGCGCAAAGTTTCGTCCTTGTGAAATGATTTAATCTCCTCAGGAACGAATTTTGATTCAAGTCTGAAGGAAACGATTTCGTTTGAGAGTGACTCAAACTTGTGACTTGTCGATCACACACGGAAAAAGCAATTCCCCGGTATAACTGAATTTTCAGTTACTTGTGGGGACTAGATGAAAAATTCTGTTGCGAGAACAGAAGGATTCCCGGGGTTTCTGCTCAGCCAATTGCTGCCCTCAGTTACTTCAACTGACTTTTAATGCAGCTGAATGTTTTTGGTCGCAGTAACAGAGATATTATTTCTCGTCAGTGAGTTTTTCGTCTGGTCCCCATTCAGTTAGCCGAACTGAAATTGTTTTTTTCCCATGTACCATGAGACTTTCCTTTTATTTTTGGGGAATTTTGCGTTCACAAATTTTTATTTGTTTGCAGTCGTTGTCGACGGTGAATGAATTTACACGCAATAATGTTCGTTGTGCAGACAATGGTGAAAAGATTGCAAACACTTTTATTTCGATGGATTTCGTATACACGTACACATATTCACACTCACAGTATCCAATAGCAAATTTAAATTTATTTAAATAGTTAATCGAAAAATTACATCTCATCTGAAAATAACAAGAAAATAAACTTTGTTGAGCATGGATATATTGCAAAATTCGATGAAAAAATTGCTCCAATTTCACATGTGTTCACACATTTTTTCAACAGTTAAAAGTATTCAGATTAAAAAAAAGAACTGAATGTATTTAAACGTACATGTATATATGTCAGTGTTCCTGAAGAGATTAATTTTCAAATGCATAAAAAATTCGATCGCTTCTTAACGTTTGAAAATAAAAGTCATCTGATGAAATATTTTGTCTCGTTCTGTTTCGCTACGAACTAACTGTTAATTAAGGTAAAAGAATCAATACTCTGGCACATATTTAATCCTGAACATTCTTATTGTTTTGGTTTTAAATTTAAATACAAATATTTAAATTTTCAACATAAAATGTATATACATATATTTTGTATATCTAAAAAATAACAAAAATATTCAGTAAGTACTAGTAACATGTTTATTTTTAATATTTTTTTGTTTAATATACAATTGCTTTTATGAAAAGCTAAGATAAAAAAAATATATATATTTTATCATTAAAAAAATGTGTTATTTAGTAGAAATAAATATGTTATTAGTACCACCAGCGAATAAATATTTTTTTATTTCTTAGATATTCTTTTGTCTCTCAATGTATATAGGATGTGTGTATACGTGTTATTTTTATGTTAAAAGTTTAAAACATCTATATTTAAACTTATTTTCTATTCCTTAGACATTTTTTCTCTCTGTATATGTAGGAATGTATATATAATATATATTCTATAGACAATATATATTCTAATATATATTTCTTTTTCATATTGAGAGAATTTAAATTTTCGTATAGACCAAGGCAACAGAAATGTCTATGATTAGATACATGTCTGAGAATTGGTATAGACCAAGGCAACAGAAATGTCTATGATTAGATATATGTCTGAGAATTGGTATAGACCAAGGCAACAGAAATGTCTATGATTAGATACATGTCTGAGAATTGGTATTTTTATCTCACAAACATATCGCTCTCTCTCTCTCTCTCTCTCTCTCTCTCTCTCTCTATTACTCCCTTCAGCCCCTCAGCCCTTCGCGAGACCACACGGCCTTTCGATGTTGATACATTGCGGCCCGCAAATCCCGCCGCGAATCGCTCGTCAATTAATACACCGTAAATCGCGACCGCGAATTGCGTCCCGCCGTGGATCGTTAATTCCCGACGAATGTTAATTCCAACACGTGCGTCCCGCGACGCATCTCGTGCGACCTTAATAAAACGACACCAGCACGCCGCGCCGCGCGGCGCTGAGTAAAGCGGAATGCAACAATTGATTCGTGTACGTCGCGAGATTAACCTCAATTAAAATCAACGTGACATCCAACGGCGTGCGTGCGCGTCTTTAATTTTCCACGCGCCGTAGAACTCCGCGTGTGCCTGCCTTTCTCCGTGCGAGACAGAAGCGTCATCGCGAACCTCGCTCTGACGGGGATCCTCGACGTGCGATCTTTGTATGCGAGAGCGCAACGATACAGGAAGTCGTGTGCGCTTTCTCTCATCTCGTTTCTCGAGAAGAAGAGACACGCACGCCGTAAAGAGATATCTTCCCTATACATATGCATCAAGCGCGTCCCGCAAACCGACGAAGCGAAGGTCGTGCCGGACAGACTTCCCGATAAAGCTCCGGTGAAACTTCCCACCGGAAATACGTCGAAAATTCAGTTGCTCGCGCATCTCCTTTCTTGGCGACGCGCTACCGCGGGAATTCACGCGGAGGGAGACTTCGCGGCACTTCGCGCTTCTCTCACCGCGAGAATTCGCGGTCCTTCTTTACTACACTCGTAATGCAGTTCGCACGGGATACTTTTCCGCGCCGGTCAAGTTCGTCTTTGACGACGGGGATTCTTCCGCGGCTTCCAACTCGCGCTGAAACTTCCCAATGCAAATGTTCGCACACACGCCAACTTGCTGACACGGCCGTATACACTGTGACCTTTAGCCGAATACTCCCCCTAAGTTAAAGCCAAATCGATCGCGGTCTCTTTTCCCTCCCCCTCCTCTCTCTCTCTCCCTCTACTCTACTCTCTTTGCCGCGAACCCTCTCTGGTTCCTTACTTCCTCGCGTAAGCGATAGCCACCCGATACACGTCTCGTCTCATTATATAACCGAGTCTCTAAATTCGGGGAGAATTCGGTGAAGCCGAATTCTCCCCGAAAGACAAAAATGGATTTCTTTATATATATATATATATATATATATATATATATATATATATATATATATATATATATATATATAT